ACAGAACAGGCAGATCGACGAAGTACACTGCTGAGGGGAGCAGCGGGCGGGTCAGGAGAGGTCTGCCACGCCATGTGGTCACCTCCGGGGCAGGCGGGAATTGAACTCATGCGGAAGCGGCTTTAGATTCTCAGTGCTGTGCTTTAACCGGCTGCGCCACCAGGGAGGGCCACACCCCGCCGTTTTTGACCCCATTCCCCACTCCACCCCCACAAAATGTCTCTGGTATATAGCTGTTCATTATTCTTATTATTTTCTTGCCTAGTCCATTATACTTCTGCTCTGAGCGAAACCATCTGGTATTTTTCTTTTTCTTTCTGGCTTATCTCACTAAGCATGATCTTTTCCAGCTCCATCCAAGTTGCTGCAAAAGACATGTGTTTCTTTGTTTTGGTTGCTGAGTAATATTCCATTGTATATATGTACTACATCTCAAAAAGATGTCCTTTAATAGGTAAATAAATATACAAATGTATAATAGGTAAATAAATGTGTGGTATGTCCACAGTGTGGAATATTATTTAACCATTAAGAAAAATGAAACTTCAAGTCTCAAAAAACATGGTGGAGCCTCAAAGGAATATTACCAAGTGAAAGAAACCAACCTGAAAGGCTGCATCCTGCACAATTCCAACTATATGACATTCTGGAGGAGGCAAAAGCAGAGACAGTAAAAGTTCAGGGGTACCAGGGGCTAGAGGAGAGGGGAGAAATGATGAATCGATAGAGCACAGAGGCCTTTTGGTTAGTGAAACTATTTACATATAATTCCGTAATGACAGCTACATGACATGCACACATGTCAACAGTCATAAATGTGTCACACGAAGTGTAAAGTCTAGTGTCAACTATGTACTAGAGTGAATAATAATGTATCAGCATTGTATGTGTTTAATATATAATACTGACTCATCAGTGATAACAAATGAAGCTCATTAATGCACCGTGTTAATATTAGGGGAAATGTGCTCACAGGTGGAGAGTGAAATAAATAGTTGTTCAGAGTCCCACAGACTGGCTTGGTTTGTCCTGTGGCAGAGACCTATTTCTTACTGGGGCTGGATACAGTGGCACAGTGATAGCGGAGACCAGTGCCGTGGGGTGTCAGCACTTGGATGCCGGTGCTTCCTTTCCCAGAGCAAAGACCAAGAGAAGTGACACTCACTGGGAGCTGGAGCTGTGAGTAACTGAGGCATGAGTTCCTTCACCTGCCTTGGTTCAGTTAGGTAAATAGGAGAAGGCACAGCCAAGGAAAGTGAAGCTGGGGGCATGTCAAGACATTCAGCAGCAGAACCAGAACTGGAGGATAAATGTTCCATCTCTTGCCTTTCTAGTTTTGTTTCCTGAAGTTGGCATGTTGGGAAAACCTGCTGAGAGATCAGCAGCAGCTCGTGGAGCAAGCTGACAAGCTGACTCAGAAATACAAGCTTTTGTGGGTGTCCAGCCTAGAGCTGTCTCCATGCCCTGGAGCGTCTCCAGAGTGTTCCCCTGCAAGGACAGCCCAAACTTTTGCCCACCAATTTTAGCATTTATTAGATTATGTCTTGATGATTATTACTGTGCAGTAATATGAGCAGATCCATATTTCCTCATTTCACCTACGCTTATTTATTTACATTTTTCTATAAAGATGAGCAATTTTTTCTCCCGTTTTAGTCTATTTTGTCAAAACTATACCATCACAGTTTGTTTTGCTACAACCTATGTTTACCTATAAAATATATAATTATTGTTTTAATCTTTTAGTTGGATTTTTCCAACTTTAGAGCTGAAAATACTTACCTGAGCAATGCTTTTAAGTAGAATCAATGGGTAAGGGAGTAGACACATTTAAACTTTGAACAGATACCCGAAAAATTGTTTTCTGAAACTGGTGTGATGATTCATACAACCATACATATAATGAGTAAATTGTTTTTCATGTCATTGCCTACCAACTTTTAAAATTGTGCCTACTTGATGGGTGGAAACTGAGTCTTATTATTGCTTTGATTTGCATTTTGCTAATCACTAGTATGGTTAACTATAATTGCTTTTATTTTTGGATATATATGCACATATCCATATTTCCTGTCAATGTAATATTTTTATATTCTTGGTGCATTTTTTTCCAAGAATTATTTATAATTCCCCCATTTATTAGTAGGAACTATTAAAAACTTGTATATTAATTATTTGTTTATTAGATGTGTGGCAAATAAATTCTCTGAGGCTGGATGATGATCAGCTTTTTCATGGCTATTGCGTTTTCTATGATATGGACCATCAGATAAAGGCTAAAAGTTCTTGTCCTTTGGCACTTTGATGAGACTATCAAACTTTAAGTATTTAAACCAAAATCTCTCCTTACCTGCCGTAGTGTAATCTGTCCAATCATAGTTTGTTTTTGTTGTACATAAATGTATAATTTGGACAAAAGCTGCTTTGAATTTTGGGGAATACACCTTTATGATGGTCCTATTATTTGGGTTCTTCTGTCTTAATGAGTTTAGCGCTTCTATTTATTCTTGCCATTTAAGTGAGTAGTGTGAGATTTACTTTTGTTAATTTTTCTTTTGAGGAAGAGGAGGCTGTAACACAGCATTTTGACTGACATAGAAACGTCTGAATTTCCATGGAGAAAGCAGCTAGGAAGAAGTGAAGAGCCATCCCTCTAGGAAGCAAGTCCAGACAGCGGGCTTGGGAGTGGACAGAGGGTTGGGCAAGTCCAAGCTCAGTTTTGGGACATAATCCCCAAAGATACAAACCTGAAGGACAAAATCTCAAAATTTCCAAATTCTGAAACCCTTGCCCTTTGGGATTTGGGCCATCGATGTGTGTCTTTGGGGACTACAATCCAAATCCATGCGAGATGCCCTCACAGTGAAACGAGAGTTGAGTAAATTCATCACACTGATGCCATGAAAACTCAGCATCACTTTCTCAACTGGTGATCACTTCATGACAGCTTAGAGTCTGAAAACTGAAGTCTGGGTTGAGTGATCTCCTACAATCATTTCCAGTCTGGAAACCTTGCGTTTGTCAGTACTTGAATTCAATTGAAACCACACTTCCTCCTGGGGTAACAGATGACCTGGAAGCTCAAGGCATTGGGATTTGGGTTTCAACAACAAAGGCCCATATTCCTGCAAGACCTAAAATGATGCGGTGGAAAGTCTGGGGTTTGAGCAGGAGATGCTTTCAGAAGAGAGAAGAGAGGGTCATGGAGGTGCTTGCCTTGAAGATTATGTTTTAAACTTTGGGCCACCTCCTCCCAATTAACAGGAAACTATGAAGCTGTAGGTTCTGCTAGTCTGTCTCCTGACATTCACTATAGCCATGTTAACTTCTGCTTTAGAAAACTTTATGTTTGACCTCAGCAGATGGGATGGGATCTGTATGTATAACAAACATAACTAAAAAACTCTACCATTTATCAAGAGCTCATAAATGTCTGTATTACCAGAAGAAGCAGGGGAAAGGAATGATTTGGACTCGTTTTTGGTCTGGTCCCTGCTGACATCATTAACCCTTAGTTCTGGAGTCCACTGCATTTTGGGGATCCCAGGGACCAGGCTTGCCTCACTTAGGGTGTGTGCTGCTTGGTGCTTGGCTCCTCGGGGAGCCCCAAGGAGATGTGGGTACATCATTGAGGGACGGAAAGAATATAGAGAAGGGAGCTTTCAACTGAACTCTGAATTTAGAAACGGTGACGTGGAGTGGCTTCATGTCCAGAAGTGCATCCGGGTCTGCCTGAAGCTCACTGTGCACGCACAGGGCTCCCTTATCAGGAATACAGAGGACACGCATCCCAGCCCAGGACCGGACACCTTCACGAGGGCATGGTACTTCAGTCCTAGTCCCAGAGTGACATGGCAGGAGGACTGAGCTCTGGGAAGTCCTCCAGCCTCCCCTTTCTGGGAAGCTCAGGGTCTGTCATCACAATTTCCTATGGGGCTGGGTTGGAAGCCTACTTGTAGGGGAGCGCAGGTAGGTCACGTGTGCGGATGTGATGATTTCTTCATCAGGTGCCTCGAGGCATCTTCTGGCTGGAGAAACTGGCCTCTTTTTCTGTGTTAGACTGCCACGCCCTCCAGGAAGCTGAGCCTCCTAATGTTCAGCAGATAAATGACCAGCCCTGCAGAGCCGGCCACTGCTCCTGTAGCTGCTGAAGCCTCATCTGCGTTCCCTGGACTCTGAAGGCCAGTGCGTGGCAGCCAGGAGCGCAGTGTCCTCTGACTCTGACCTCCCCTCTATCTGTGTGCTGGGGCTGGTGGAGGTGAGGGGCTGAGCCAGGGTCTCTGTGTCTTGTCTCATGCAGGTGCTCTCATGGGGAGTTGCTGGTGTCCTGGGGGAGGGTCCCCTACCCCAGGAGGAACAGATGTTGAGGGGAGGATGGAGGAAGTCAGATGAGTAGAGGGGGTACAGGTGTGAGGGGCGTGGGAGGTGTTTAGGTCAATAGTGATACCTGGCTTGGAACTCCAGTGAGCTTATGTCACTGATATCTCCCATGGGTGCTGTGAAGTTTTGTTTCAGGAGGCAGCTCAGATTTTATGACTAAGGTTTCCTGACAGGTTAGGCGTCCTAGCTTCCTGTCCAGCATGAATACCTTAGGAAACAGGCCCAAGAACATCTTGGAAATTTCTCCTGAGATCAAATCTCCCATCTTTTTAAATCCTACAGGTGCTGTGACAACCCCATTATGGCAGAAAGTCCACAGACCAATGATAAGAAAGAAATTATTATAGATCAGTCATGTAAACAATCAGGTATCTTTCTGATCACCCCAATGTTCGCTGCCCTTCTGTGCATGCTTGTGTATGGTCTTCCCATGCTAACTTCTCCCACTGATCCATGAGATTCTGGAAGGTGGGGACCATCAGCTGTTCACTTCTCTCGTTTCAGACCCAGCTTTTGGTCAAGCACAGAGCAGGTGTCAGGAAGACTTACTTGGTCTTGGTAACAGATGCTACAGGGCTGACACTTTGCTCTTTTAGCCCAGGCACAGCCCTTACCTCCATATGGGGGTCCACAGCATAAATGGAAAGAAGGAGGGGGAATTTAGTGTGAATTCTGCCTGTTTTGGTCTGCAGATCCTGGTCCTTACTTTCCAAGGAGCCTAAATTAGAATATCTTTCTCTAGCACCATTATAGCAGCCTTAATTATAATGCTTTTCATTATTTTTCTCATTTAAATAAAAGTAAATTTGCCTTACACTGGGGATATCTCTGACTCGAATCAACAAGTATGGATCCTTCAAGGTGACGTTCTTGTGGCAGTTCCTCGGAGAGCGGACGTGACTCCAGGTGAGGCTCCCCTCGAGTTAGTGGCTGGGTTACCTTTCTACGGCTTCCAGGAGGGAGGAGAGTTTCATAGGATAACTTAGAGAAGTTTTCTGGGAGCGGGGTAAAAAAGCCGAATTGGAACTGCATCATGGGGACAGGAGCAATGCTCTCCTGGCCTGGGATCCTTGTGGAAGAGCAGTAGCTCATTCTGCCCCCTGCTGCCCTCCAAAGACTAAATGGGCTGATACCCCAGGGAGGCAGCTTTCATCATCAGATCAAGCAAAATTTCCTAAGTCACTGACCTCTTCAAGGGTCGAAGCTCTGCTTGGCTAGGGCTTCCCTTCTGTTGGTGTTTAAGCAGAGGTGTAAAGATCAAGACCAGAATGGGTTGTTTAACGTTTTGGGTTTGTTCCATATTCTGAGGCAGTGATTACACATGGTGGCAGTGAGTGAATGAATGAATGGATGAATGAATGAGTGAGTGAATGAATGAAGCATATGGCCATTTGGTGGATGTGGGGTAACCCAACTTGGAAGACAGTCGTCTTTTCCTGACGGCAAAGAGAAGCTTACACCGCCTCCTCTCTTGTTTCCAAGTTACCATCACTTTCCTCCCATGCAAGTATCCCGAGTCTCTTGAACAAGACAAAGGGACTCCCATTTACATGGGAATAAAGGAACCAGAAAAGTGTTTGTCTTGTGAGGACATGGAGGGTCAGCCCACCCTAAAACTGAAGGTGAGTACTAAGAATGTGACCATGCAAACACTGTGAAAAAGTTAATGTTTCTAAAAGGCCTTATCTTGTAGAGGTTTACTTGGTAGCAGATCTGATCTTAGAGCTAAATTCTTAGCATCTGCATTCCTAGTTGCTCTTGAGTTAAACGCTAGAAACTCACATTTCTTTGAGTTATCCTTTCCCTCTTAACCTCTTTGGTGGTGTTTTTTTCAAATAGATTTGCTTCTGTTTCATCTTTTGTTTGCCACTCTTCATCATTGGACATTGGACCTTCTAGAGTCTTCTCTGATGTCTAATTGTCCACACTTGCTCTCCATTCCTTACTTTTTTTCTCTTCATGTTGGGTCCTGAGAGCATTTCCTGGTTCATTATCTTAGATTATGCTTTCATTTTAAACATCCTGTCTGTTCAACATACTTTCCTGTGTTTTCTGAAATGCCATCTTTACTATATTAATTCTCAAGAATTCTAGGTGGCTCTTACTTTCTCTTTATGACTCAGTTATCCCAAAGGAACTTATTTCTTAAACTTTGGTTCTAAAAACCTTTGTTGGACTCAATTCATTGTGATTCTACCCAAGGCCATTCCCCAGAAATGTGTGCCTCCAGCACTGCTGTGGGCATTTGGGGAGCAGCAGGGAGCAGAGGGCAAAGGCCTTGCCCTCAGGGCACTTGGAGACAAGTGGACAGTGTCCGGGCACCCGCAGCCTCGCTAGGGATGACCTTGCTCCCTGCTGCAAACTGGCATCTCCTTCTGTGGTAGAGGATCCCTCAGCCTCTCTGGTGAGGAAGTCCCAATATTTTGTCCTGTTCAGTGCCCGACCCTGGTGTTGTTCCAGCCCATGTCTGGATTTAAGGCCTGTCACTGGGCAGGAGATTCCTCTCTGCCTCTCCTTTGAAATGTGTTCATCTAGACCTGCTCTCAGTGTGGATAAGGCATTTTTGAAACTTGAAAACATTTAATATTTTAAGAGATTTCTTTTTGTTAATTTATGTATACATTAACAGGGGTGTAGGCCAGTGATCAGGAGTGAGAAGATTCATCAGAGACAGAATGGGAAGCAGAACAGGTGGATTGACTGAAATACACTGCTGAGAGGAGCAGTGGGAGAGACAGGACAGGTCTGCTGTACCACATGGGATCAGCTTCCTGATTGGGTATCGAACTCATGCTGTAATGTTGCAGGTGGCTTCATAGTTCTGAGACTTAACACCTTGTACCACCAGGGAGGCCCAGAGCATTTAATGTCTGTGTACAAGTCACCTTGAACTACTCAAACAGCCTTTGCTTCCTGTATGGGCCTTGTCCTTCCTTTGCAGGAGGAGAAGATTCTAGATCTGTACAACCAAGCGGGGCCTGTGAAACCCTTCCTCTTCTACCACAATAAGACTGGCAGGACCTCCACCTTTGAATCTGTGGCTTTCCCTGGCTGGTTCATTGCTTCCTCCTCGGATCAAGACCAGCCCATCTTTCTCACCTCAGAGCAGGGGAAGACACACAATACTGCTTTCGATTTTTCACTCTAGTCTTGAAGATGGCAGCTTGTTTGCGCTCTCTGTTCCTGCCTTCCTTGTTGGTTCATTAGCTTATAGGATTGTTTTTTAAAAAATCCTGTCTGTACTCTCCTGCACTGCTGGTGGGAATGCAAACTAGTACAACTATTATGGAAAACTGGAGGTTTTCAAACCGCTAAACATGGATCTTCCATATGACCTAGCTATTCCACTCCTAGTTATCTACCCAAAAGACACAAAAACACTGATTCAAAAAGACATCTGCACCCCCATGTTTATTGCTGCTTTATTTACAATTGGGAAGACATAGAAACAACCCAAGTGTCCAAAAGTAGATGACTGGATTAAAAAGATGTGGTATATATACACACAATGGAATATTACTCAGCAATCAAAAAAATAAACACATACATTTTGCAGCAACATGGATGGAGCTGGAAAAGATAATGCTTAATGAAATAGCCAGAAAGAAAAGGGAAAATACTGGTGGTTTTACGCATAGCAGGAGTATAAGGGACCAGGGGAGAAAATAATAATAATAATAATAATAATAATAATAATAATAATAATAAAATAATAATAATAATGAACTACTATATATCAGAGTCATTGTACTGGGTTGGAGTGGGGAATGGGATCAAAAATGGTGGTGGGGGAGGGAAGTGCACTGGACTGTGGTGATGGCACACAGGTGAACTGGTGATGGAAAACCCACGGGAATTACAACTGAGATGGAAAAAGGCACAAAATGATGTAAAAATAAACTATTATATTACTAAAAAAAATCCGTTCCTTTTACTTTTAGTCTATGTTTATCTTTGGTAGTTAAATGTGTCTTCTTGAGACAGTAGAACGTTGGATTTTGTTTAATCAGCCTGCACAGTGGAATATTATTTAGCTGAATGAGAAATGAGCCTTCAAGTCTCAAAAAGACATGGTGGAACCCCAAAGGAATAATACTAAGCCTGAAAGCTGCATCCTGCACAATTCCAACCATATGACATTCTGGAGGAGGCAGAAGCAGAGCTAGTAAAAGTTCAGGGTGCCAGGGGCTAGAGGAGAGGGGAGAAATGATGAGTCAATAGAACACAGAGGCCTTTGGGGCAGTGAAACTATTTACATATGATTCCGTAATGATAGCTATATGACAATGTATATTTTTCAAAAGTCAAGTTTGAGACACAAAGTGTAAAGTTTAATGTCAACTATGTACTATAGTTAATAATAATGCATCACCATTATGCATGTTTTATAAATAATATTGACTCATCAGAGATCACAAATGAAGCTCACTAATGTTCTGTGTTAATATTAGGGTCCGCCGGCTGCTACGTGCAGGAGAGGAGGTTTATGAGAACTCTCCACACTTTCCGTACAGTTTGAAACCTAAAACTTTAAAAAAATAAAGTCTATTAATTAAAGGAAAGGGAATAGGTGAAAAAATTTTTTGAAAATTCTTCACTCCAATATCTAAACTATTATCATTTTAGCAAATAATCAGTAAATAAACCATCAGGACATTTACATGCCTTCTTTTATTTTTACTAGGTTTTCAAAATTTGTGTGCATTTTCACACATTTAGAATCCATTCACTTTGGACCAGCCTCATATGTTTTCACAAGGTCCCTGGTGATTTGCACAGGAGGGTTCAGAGGACGATGCCGTCCTTTAGCAATGCTGGAAGGACACTGACTCGTCACCAGAGACTGTGTGCTGAGGGCTGCCATATTGGACACATATTTTAATTTATTCACCTACATTAGAAAGGTGAGCTTAAGTACTATGTCATGCAGCCCCTGCGTCCTTAAACAGACCCAGCCCAGACAGTTGGAGGCTGTTACCTTTTGTTCCTCAATTCTGTAAAGCCCAGCAAACACCTCTGACTGCTTCTTTTCTTTTCCCACCCAAATCCTCCTGCACTCCTTGACCTCTAAACCACTCTGAGGCCCACTCATTTTCCTGCTGTTAAAGGTTGTATACTGAGCTCATCGGTGCACCAAAGGCCAGGAACATCTTCTTGTGCAGGGAGCTGGGCTAAGCCCTGAGAAGCAAGGCTGCCCCCGCTGGGCCTTGGTCCACGCTTGACTGGGGAAGGTGGGCTGCACAGAAGGAGATTGACCCTGGCTTGGCAATTAAGGGCGGTGAGCTGCCTGTTTTGCAGCCAGTCCTCCAGGAGTCTGTGTTGTGTTACCAGGGCATGGGCAATCTTGCCACTGTGAGGTGTCTTTGGAAACCTTGAGATTAAAGTCATTATTCCTTTATTCCTACTTGCGTCATTCCCTCAGATATCCCCTTTCCTGGCCTAGCCTGGTCCCATTCCTCCTGCTTCCTGGAGCACATGTATTTCCTCATTATTTGTCTTTGGGCTTGGCTATGTGACTTTTGTCCAAAGGAATGTGGGCAGAGTGACAGAGTGCCAAGTCTGAGCCAAGGCCTGAAAAAACATGGCAAGTGTATGACCTCTTGGGATTCCTGCCTCAACCTTCAGAAGAGCAGGTCCTGATTCCATCTTCAGTCCCAGTCCTGGAATGCAAACCTGGGAGAACAGATCTTGACACATAACCTGTGGGGGGAAGCCAAGTCCAGTGAAACCAGTTGAACTGACACAGACCCACAGGTGGAGAGTGAAATAAATGATTGTTCAGAGTCTGCAGACTGGCTTTGTCCTGTGGCAGAGACCTATTTCTTACTGGGGCTGGATACCATGGTCCAGTGATAGTGGAGACCAGTGCCGTGGGGATGCCGGGGCTTCCTTTCCCAGAGCAAAGACCAAGAGAAGTGACACTCACTGGGAGCTGGAGCCATTGACAGGTGGAGCTGTGAGTAACTGAGGCATGAGTTCCTTCACCTGCCTTGGTTCAGTTAGGTAAATAGGAGAAGACACAGCCAAGGAAAGTGAAGCTGGGGGCACTTCAAGACATTCAGCAGCAGAACCAGAACTGGAGGATGAATGTTCTGTCTCTTGTCTTTCTAGTCTTGTTTCCTGAAGTTGGCAGCTTGTTTCCTGAAGCAGCAGCTCGTGGACAAGATGACAAGATGACTCAGAAACACAAGCCTCTGTGGGTGTCCAGCCTAGAGCTGTCTCCATGCCCTGGGGTGTCTCCAGAGCGCTCCCCTGCAAGGATAGCCTTGCCCTCAGCACACAGTCTCTGGTGACGAGTCAGTGTCCTTTCAGCATTGCTAAAGGACGGCATCGTCCTCTGAACCCTCCTGTGCAAATCACCAGGGACCTTGTGAAAACATAGACTAGTTCTGACTCAGGGGTGGGGTGGGGCCTAAAAACATGCATTTCTCACACAGGGATCATTCACTGAGCAGCAGTGCGATAGTCATGTGTGACCGACTGACTGGATTGACAGGAGTTATTAAAGGCTCCATAAGGGAGGTACTAATACATGAATGTTGAAGTAAAATTTACATCTGAAAAAAGCAGCTTCCCTTTGACTTTGACTTTTACTGGCCAGAGATTACCTTTGAGCGGTTATCTTAACAGATGCAGAAAATCATCTCATAATCTTCAACACCTAATTCTAATTTTAAATAATTCTTAATTTTAAATTAAAAGTAGGAACAAGAGGAGTATTGATTGAACTTGTGAAGGCCATGTATCTCCAATCTACATGGAATTTAAACCATAAAAGGGAAACTTTTCAATCATTTTCGTTGAGATCAGTAACAAGATTAAAGCACTCACTACTATTTAATGTTATGTTGGAGTTCCTGGTCAACACTTTGGAGTAAAAAGAATTGAGAAACTTAAAGTAGAATAAAGACACAAATTTGCCATTAATTTCAGACAATATCATCATATCACAGAAAAATATCATAAGCACTTATTAGACAGTTTTTTAATACCATGTAAGGTTGTTCCATACAAAGATACACAGAAAAACCAACACTTCTTCGTCGATAATAATAATCTAGCATACTATTCACACTGTAAACAAAATGCAATGTACAATGAAATATATGCAACAAATATAAATAGCCCCAGATAGAGAAAATTAGAAATTTAATACAGGATAGAGGAGAGAATTTGAGTGAATGTAGAGTTGTCGCATTGGCTTGAATGGGATGACAATGTTATTAAATGTTCAGATATCTTCAGAGGTAATTTATAAATCAATACAAAATCAGTTTCATTCCAGTAAAAATTCTAATGGAGTTTGAGGGCAATAAAATTCATATGCTTCTTTAATAGGAGCTAAGTCTCCTTTGAAAAGGATCAGTAAGTATATATAAGTTAGTTGAAGTAATTCTTTCAGAGACAGCTATTAGCCTTGGGATTTCAGAATTTTTTTTTTCCAAAAGATTTTCCCAAATATTGTCCAAAATGTTCTTATATTTTGTCTTGTGAAGACAAAATTGTTGAGTAAATAAACATGTTGCCAAAATTTTAGTTTGTCAAATGTTTCATGTGATTTGTTTTGAAATATTCTTAAGAATAATTAAACCTAAGTTTTAAATAATTAATTCTCTGGAATTTTTATACATTTATATATAAATATTTATTACTTTATGGATATTTCTCTTCTGGCCAAGATAAAACTGAGCAGTTTCAGTTTAATGAGACAATTTTGGCAGGTGTAGGTAGTAAAAAATGAATAAACAAGAAGCTAAAAATTTAAATTACAAATTAGTCACTATATTAAAGGCTATCTTCTGAAATTGCCTACCCAGATAATTCTCTTCTTCCTTAGTCTTAAAATCTTATTTATAGGGAGAAAAAATATTAGAGGAATCAATAGTACCAAAACCAACTGCTCTAGTAGTGCATCATCACACATTCATTTTACTTTAATTGTTAAGAAGTTTAATGTGAATAATCGACTTACAGAAACACTTGAGAAAACAGTGCAGAGGTCATACACATTTTTCACTTAGTTTTTCCTAATGATACAAACTTACATACACACACACAATGATCAAGTCCAGGAAAATAATACAGGTAAAGCTGTAATAATTAAGTTGAGGAACCATTAGAATTTCACCAAGGTGGTGATGGGAGGTCAATGGGGATTACAACTGAAATGGAAAAATGAGCAAAATGAAGAACGATGTAAAAAATAAAAAGATGGGGAAGAAAAAATCACATAAAAAAAATTTCACCAAGGTTGCCTCCTAATGTCATTTTTCAGTTCTGGAATCATCCTGGAAGACACATTGCATTTATTTGTCTCCTTAGCCTTCTCCATTCTATGACAACTCCTAAGTTTGTCCTTGTCTTTCCTGACCTTGTCACTTGATGAGTATCAATCAGTTGTTTTATACTCTATGTTTTCTGGTGGTTCCTCCCCCTTCTTTTCCCCCTTCCAGGTTACATCACTGCATATGATTCAGAGAAAGAGGTTCACACCTCCTCAGTTTTCATCACCACATACCACCACCCCAGAGTACCCGTAACCCTTTATCATTCACCATTGAGGTCCCTCCCACTTATGCCACCCTCACGCCCCCACCCCTGTCTAGTGTCTTCAATTCTGCAATCATTTCTAGACATATTTTGGTTTGTTTAGTTTAGTTCTGCAGTTTCTGTGTTTTGTTTCTCTATATTCCACATATGAGTGAAATTATGCATTTTTTGGTCTTTCTCCCTCTGGCATATTTCACTTAGCATAATCTCCCATTCTATCCATGTGCCAGACTGGGTAGTACCCTGTTGCATATATCTACCATGTCTTCTTAATCCAGTCCTTGTCACTGGGCACAGAGTTCTCATATTTTAGCTTAATTGCATTAAGGTTATACAGTTGTGGCAAGATGCTACAGAAGTAATTTGTTCTTATCAACATTTATTGAGAATATATGATGTTTATGTGTCCCATTATGATGATGTAGCCTTGATCACTTGTGTAAGGAAGTATCCATTGAATTTCTTTACTGTAAAATTGTTATATCCCCTTTTGTCTTTAATAAATAGTATGAGAGGCCCTCCCTTGTGGCGCAGCGGGTTAAAGCACAGCACTGAGAATCTAAAGCCACTTCCACATGAGTTCGATTCCCGCCTGCCCTGGAGGTGACCACATGGCGTGGCAGACCTCTCTGACCCACCCGCTGCTCCCCTCAGCAGTGTACTTTGTCGATCTGCCTGTTCTGTTCCCCACTCTGTCTCTGGTGAAGCCTCTCACCGCCCCTGAGCCTCTGGCCTGTATCCCAGTTCTGTATGCAAAAATAAACCTTTAAAAAAAAAAAATAGTATGAGAGAGACTTTGAAACTTTGTTAATTTCCTGTGTTTCCCTAAACCTTTACCCATCAATTTTAACATTTATTAGTGTATCTGGCAATGATTATTACTGTGGTATTTGTTCAATAGCAAATTCATATTCCCTCATTTCTTCTACACTTAGTTATTTCCATTTTTCTATAAGGTTGAACATTATTTCTCCCTACTTAGCCTATTTGTGTAGAAAAGTATATCATCATGTGTTTGTTTGGGTATAATCTATATACTTAAGAATATACTAATTATGGAAATATTTATATTTATTGTTCAATAAACTTTGAGCAGATCTTTGAAAAATTGTTTCCTGAAACAGCTGTGCTGATTCACACAGCCACTCAGACAGTGAGTAAATTGTTTCTCAAGTCATTGCCTCCATCTTTTAAAAATCGTGACTTCTTGATGAGTGAAAACTGAGTCTTAATATTTCTTTGATTTGTATTTTGCTAATTACTAGTATGGTTAAGTATAATTGCTTTAATTTATTGGATATATACATATACATATACATATATATATATAATAAAGCATATACCTGAGAAGAATATATATGTGTGTGTGTGTGTGTCTATACATATATATATATATATATATGCTTTTATATTCTTTGCACATTATTTGCATTTCTCCCATTTATTAGTAGGGAATATTTTAAAATTAGATATTAACTATTTGTATATTATATGTGCTACAAATATATATCTTCCAAGTCACCTTATTTTTTTAATTTCTTCCATGGATTCTTTTGTCAAAATTCTAAAATTTGGAGTATGCTCAACTTTTTTTTATGGCTATTGCATTTTCTGTGATGTGAAACATCAGACAAAGGCTAGAAACCTCTGTCAGTTGGTACTTTGCTCAGGAATCTCAAACTTTAAGCATTTAACCCACAATCTTTCCTTAACTGCTATGGTGTGATGTGTCCAATTACAGCTTTACTTACTTAATTGTTTGTTTTTGGTTGTAATAAATATATAATTTGGTCAAACGCTGCTTGAATTTCAGGGAATACACCTTTATGGATGTCTTGTTATTTGGGTTCTTCTATCATAATGAGTTTGGTGTTTCTGTTTGTTTCTGCCATTTAGGTGAGTGCTATGGGACTTATTTGTGTTAATTTTTCTTTTGTTTTCAGATGAGGAAGAGGAGACTGTAACACAGCATTTTGACTGACATAGAAACGACTGAATTTCCATGGAGAAAGCAGCTAGGAAGAAGTGAAGAGCCAGCCCTCTAGGAAGCAAGTCCAGACAGCAGGCTTGGGGGTGGGCAGAGGGTTGGGCAAGTCCAAGCTCAGTTTTGGGACATAATCCCCAAAGATACAAACCTGAAGGACAAAATCTCAAAATTTCCAAATCCTGAAACCCTTGCCCTTTGGGATTTGGGCCATCGATGTGTGTCTTTGGGGACTACAATCCAAATCCATGCGAGATGCCCTCACAGTGAAACGAGAGTTGAGTAAATTCATCACACTGATGCCATGAAAACTCAGCATCACTTTCTCAACTGGTGATCACTTCATGACAGCTTAGAGTCTGAAAACTGAAGTCTGGGTTGAGTGATCTCCTACAATCATTTCCAGTCTGGAAACCTTGCGTTTGTCAGTACTTGAATTCAATTGAAACCACACTTCCTCCTGGGGTAACAGATGACCTGGAAGCTCAAGGCATTGGGATTTGGGTTTCAACAACAAAGGCCCATATTCCTGCAAGACCTAAAATGATGCGGTGGAAAGTCTGGGGTTTGAGCAGGAGATGCTTTCAGAAGAGAGAAGAGAGGGTCATGGAGGTGCTTGCCTTGAAGATTATGTTTTAAACTTTGGGCCACCTCCTCCCAATTAACAGGAAACTATGAAGCTGTAGGTTCTGCTAGTCTGTCTCCTGACATTCACTATAGCCATGTTAACTTCTGCTTTAGAAAACTTTATGTTTGACCTCAGCAGATGGGATGGGATCTGTATGTATAACAAACATAACTAAAAGACTCTACCATTTATCAAGAGCTCATAAATGTCTGTATTACCAGAAGAAGCAGGGGAAAGGAATGATTTGGACTCGTTTTTGGTCTGGTCCCTGCTGACATCATTAACCCTTAATTCTGGAGTCCACTGCATTTTGGGGATCCCAGGGACCAGGCTTGCCTCACTTAGGGTGTGTGCTGCTTGGTGCTTGGCTCCTCGGGGAGCCCCAAGGAGATGTGGGTACATCATTGAGGGACGGAAAGAATATAGAGAAGGGAGCTTTCAACTGAACTCTGAATTTAGAAACGGTGACGTGGAGTGGCTTCATGTCCAGAAGTGCATCCGGGTCTGCCTGAAGCTCACTGTGCACGCACAGGGCTCCCTTAGCAGGAATACAGAGGACACGCATCCCAGCCCAGGACCGGACACCTTCACGAGGGCATGGTACTTCAGTCCTAGTCCCAGAGTGACATGGCAAGAGGACTGAGCTCTGGGAAGTCCTCCAGCCTCCCCTTTCTGGGAAGCTCAGGGTCTGTCATCACAATTTCCTATGGGGCTGGGTTGGAAGCCTACTTGTAGGGGAGCGCAGGTAGGTCACGTGTGCGGATGTGATGATTTCTTCATCAGGTGCCTCGAGGCATCTTCTGGCTGGAGAAACTGGCCTCTTTTTCTGTGTTAGACTGCCACGCCCTCCAGGAAGCTGAGCCTCCTAATGTTCAGCAGATAAATGACCAGCCCTGCAGAGCCGGCCACTGCTCCTGTAGCTGCTGAAGCCTCATCTGCGTTCCCTGGACTCTGAAGGCCAGTGCTTGGCAGCCAGGAGCGCAGTGTCCTCTGACTCTGACCTCCCCTCTCTCTGTGTGCTGGGGCTGGTGGAGGTGAGGGGCTGAGCCAGGGCCTCTGTGTCTTGTCTCAGGCAGGCGCTCTCATGGGGAGTTGCTGGTGTCCTGGGGGAGGGTCCCCTACCCCAGGAGGAACAGATGCTGAGGGGAGGATGGAGGAGGTCAGATGAGAAGAGGGGGCACAGGTGTGAGGGGCGTGGGGGGTTTTTAGGTCAACAGTGATACCTGGCTTGGAACTCCAGTGAGCTTCTGTCACTACCCAATGTCTCCTGTGAGTGCTGTGAAGTTATGTTTCAGGAGACAGTTCAGATTTTATGACTAAAGCTTCCTGACAGGTTAGCCTTCCTAGCTTCCTGTCCAGCATGAATACCTTAGGAACCAGAGTTGTACAAATGTCTTAGGATGGCTCTTGAGGTTCAAATTTTCCATCTGTTTTCCTATAGGTGCTGAGACAACCCCACTATGGCAGGAAGTTCACAGTGTGATGATTGGAAGGGACACTCATTTGGAGGTATCCTTTCTGATCACCCCAATGTTCTCTGCCTCCTGCTCATGCTTGTGTGTACTCTTCCCATGCTAACTTCTCCCACTGGTCCATGAGATTCTGGAAGGTGGGGACCATCAGCTGTTCACTTCTCTGGTTCCAGCTTTGGGTCAAGTCCAGAGAAGTTTCAGGAAGTCTCACTTGGCACATGGTTGCCACAGGGCTGATGCTTTTTCTTCGTAGCCCAGGCACAGCCCTTACCTCCACATGGGGGTCCACAGCA